AGCTGATGCAGAATTAGAGCTTCTAACAAGTGCTCTTCCTTCCATTCTGAAGAGTTGTTCTGAGGACCCAATATTTATCTACTTATCCTAAGCCACAAGTGTCCTCCTCCACCTCTTCTTCCCCTCTTCTTGCCTTCCTTATGAGCCAAGTCAAGAAACATCCCCAGATCCGGAAGGCCAGCACTGTACTCCCTTCCCTTCCTCTCAGCAGTATGGTAGGTTCAGGGTCCCCTGCAACCACAGCTTTAGGGCTATCAATATAGACAAAACTAAAATCCTCACAACTGGACCAATGAGCAACAACACAAAAAATGAAGAAAAGATTGAAGTTGTCAAGGATTTCATTTTACTTGGATCTATAGTCAATGCCCATAGAAGGAGCAGTCAAGAAACCAGATGACCCTGAGGCTTTGGGTTAGTGGCAGCATCTGTATACGTGGCCTTATGTTTCTCCAGTGAGGCGGCACAAGCCCAAGTGATGAGTCCTTAGATATACGGTTGTTTGTTCTGTGGTCAATGAGTTTGAAAGGAGGTGTCATGGAAAATTTTAGCACCATATCCTTTCTGTAGAGTGAAAAATTACAAAAAAAGATAAACAAAATAATTCCCCAAGAATCGTACTTCTGCTATCTACAAAATGATTTATGTAAACTATCCAACTAGCAGTTAATTGTCATGCAGCAAAATAACCAGAGGTCATTAAACATAGGACTAATCAAGTTTTATTTGACAATAAAATTAAATTCCATTAGTTTATTCTTAGATATCTGCTGAACACATAGCAGGACAACCAACCCACACAACACAACCATATTGAAAGTACAGAGCTGACCACTCTTACGGATTCTAGAGCAAGTCCAGATGGTTGGGACAGGGAGGAATTGTGATACAGAGTAGGAACTGGCTCTGCCCACTTCTCTCAAGTTATGAGCATCCTGGGCTGGGAGTTCACGGCTCGGATATGCCCAGGAACTTTGGAGCAGGATGAAGCAGGGAAGGAGGAAAAGGAGGGGCTCTGTGCAGGAAACAATTTTGTGCTTCCATGGCTACTTTCCCTACCTTCACCAGTTCAAATCCTGGCCCTACTCCTGCCCTATCACCCCAGCCCCCATTTGCTTCCAACTTCTCGGAACATTCCAACCTGGCAGATTTAACGTCAGGCTCTCGTGTTCCACCACGCGATGGTGATTTGCCATACATGAGTTCCATTTTCCCAACCAGGCCCAAAGCTCCATGCGGCTAGGCCCTCCATCCTCTACTCCTCTAGGGTCTTGCCTAGGCACCAGAACAGCACCAGGGAACTTCTGGGGATGGGGATGGATGACTGCACACAATTGCACCAGTCCAATGAGTGAGGCGCATGGGGCGAGGTGTTCTAAAGTCAACTTGGTGGAGAAAGATTGAAGGGTGAAGCCACCTGAGTACCCCCCATCAGCCAAACAAAGGCAATTTCTCCTTTGGACAGTAAAAGTGATCACTCCTTACCCCCTCAGTCTTGGTTCTCCCTCATCAGTGAATTGGGAAGAGTAAATAAAGAGCGTCTCAGAAATAAGGAGAGCATCACATGGTCCAAAACAGAGGGAACCAGCATTCAGAGGGTAAGGCCACTAATCTTTACTGAGCACCTCCTGTGAGCTAGTAGACACTGGGCTAGGTGCTTCGTAGATAATCTCTCTTAAACCATTTCCAAAAATCAAACCAAACTCATTGCTGTCAAGGGGATTCTTAAACATAGCGACCCCATGTGCTACAGAATAGAACTGCTCCCTAGGGTCTTCTTGGTTATCTTTATGGAAGCAGATCTGCAGGCCTTTCATTGGCAGCACCACTGGGTGAGTTTGAACCTCCAACCTCAGTTAGCAGTTGAGTGTAAACAGTTTGTGCTACCTAGGGACTTTTTCAACCCTTTACAGTTTTATTTCTCCCATTTTAGTGCTGAAGAAAGAAGCTAATTAACTTCCTCTAGTCATTTAGCTAGAAAGTAACTGAACCACTACTGAATTTAAGCCTGTCCTATAGCCCAAGATCTCAGATCCAGAAAGGGCCTCAAGAGAGAATCTGTACCAGGTCCTGACAGTAGACAGGTAAAGTGTTAGTGCTATTTTTCAGAAGACTCAGGGAACATGAGAGAGCAAGAGCATGTGTATGTATGTATGTGTGTGTGTGTGTGTATGGGTGTGTGCATATGTGAAAGAGAGAGGTATTTAAGGTTACCAAAAAAAAAACCCAAACTCACTGCCATCAAGTCAGAACCGACTCATAGCGACCCCTCCTTGGGTTTCCAAGGCAGTGATACTACGGAAGTAGATTACCCAACCTTCCTTCCGAGGAGTGGGTGGTGGGTTAAGAAAGAAAAATCTCAACAATGTTTCTCCCATCTGAGTCCCAGAGTAGTGGGGACAGAATTCCAGACACAAAGGGTTCCCCGAGTCTTTGACAAAGTAAGAGGTGGGCTCAACCAAGGGTTGGAAGAGGAGCCTAAACCATGCCCAGAGCCTAAGAGCTTCAGATCTTTCCCCTGGCCTTTCCCGTGGGTGGAGGTCAACTCATCTAGCCCTGTCCATCCACCTTGAGGAATCTGAGGGACTGTGTGGCTGAGCCTCTCTCCCCTCAGTGCCTGGTTCTTTCCCAAGGAGAGCCCCAAAGCCCAAGGCCCTAGAAATCACCTACCCCCTGCACCTTGCCTGTTGCAGGGCCCACAGCAGGACCCTGGTCCAGCAAAGGACCAACCAATTCTCCACAGGGAGCAAGACCCTCGCCTCCAATTGTGGAGGCCAGGCAGTAGGGGCTCAGGGAAGGCTGCCCCAGGGCTTCCTATCCAGCCTGGTGCCTGGGCTACACTAGGGCAGAGCTCCGCTGAAAGTCATGATGGGCAGACAGAGGAGGGAGCAAAGGTCGGTTGTAGCCTGGGCTGATGGGTTGGGAGGCCTCTGAGGTGGTGGGCAGAGGCTGCTCTTCTCTGGCTTGTAGCAGGGTGAGACTTCACACCTGTGGAGCAGGGCAGGAATAAGGGGAGGCCTCCCATCCCTCCAGCTCCTTCCAGGCCCCGGGGGGTCCCCTCCCCTGGGATACTGCTTTACTAAGGCAGAGCTGGGCAGCCCTCTTTCCTACCTGATCACACTCTGCAGGATTTTCCTCTCATCCTGGTCCAGACACACGGCAAAGGGGCAGCTGTTGGAGCCAATGATCTGCACCTTGTCCACTTTGATCTGTGATGTGCTGATCTGGAAGGAAGTCCCAGGTCAGTGGCCAGAACCCTGGCCACCCAGTTGCTGGCTCACCACAGTCCCTTCCCATGGAAGTGCCCATCCATATCCGAGGGGTGGGGACTGGGGTTTGGATGGCAGTTCTCTGGGGTAAATGGACTAGGTCAGAGGAGGGTCCTGAGGCTCCATCAGCCCCCCTCTCCTCTCTAGCCTCTGTCCTTTCCTGCATCTGGAAGAAGCAAGCCCCCCCTGAAGACAGACTGCACCACCACCCACTACTCTCATGTCAGAGCCACACTGGTCCCTGGCAGTCCCCTGCTTCAGACTCAGGTTCTTCTAGCATCTGCCACAGAACGTTTTCACATACACAAATCCCCTCACAAAGGCACCCCACCTCCCCAGTACCTCACAGCACTCCACATAGGTGCACAACCCATACTTCTCACCCCGTCTCTCATCTTCTCCTACCCACACACCCTGCCAAAGAATACAGGCCCTCCCTTGGACACCCCTCCACACACACACATGCTCTCTCTCTCACTCTCAATCTTTCTTCTCTCTCTCACACACACACACTCCAGTAAATCTCCTGGGGTGCCCCTGAACCCTTGGGCTGAAGGGGTGGTGGTGGAAGGGGAAGAAAGCCCTTACCTGGTTGAAGCCCTTCTTGGACTTAGGGTTCTGCCTCTTTACCACTTCTGTCAGGGTTAGCGTCAGGGCCTCCATGCTGTAGTCTGAAGTGCAAGGACAGCTCAGTCCAGGCTCAGAATCGCCCTTGCTGACACCCCCTTTGCCCTGCCTGCCCACTCACCTAGCTCCTCCTGCTTCCGGCAGGCCTTGTTGAGGTTGACAGAGGTACAGACCTTCTCCATGTTGCTCCAGCGACTTCGCCCACTGATGGCCCCCTGGAAGGACAGCAAAGTCTGATGCTCTCCGCCCAGAGGCCCAGGTGCCTTCTCCTCAGAGAGAAGGTTCTAGATCCACCAGCACAGGGAGCTGGTTATAGTCAGCACAATGCCAGGAAGCTCTCATTAACCTAAGTGGGTGAGTTTTGTCACCAAGAGCCCGTGATCACACTGTGGAGACCTAGAGCCATCTCCCGTCTGTCAGTTTGTCAAACTGTGGTGGCTTACATGTTGATATGATGCTGGAAGCTATACCATGGGATTTCAGAACTTCTGGCTCTCAGCATGCACACTCCTGGCTTCCCACCACTTCCGTGCCTGCTGTTTCTCTGCCCTGTGGGGTCACCGTCCCCTGGCTGCCATTATTCTCCCAGTTCCTCTGTCCTTTTCACTCCAGGCTTTTTCCTTTGGGGACTGTCATCCAAGTCCTTTTTCCATTCATGTTTCACCTCTGAGTTCAAGCCCATATATCCAACTGCCTATTCTTTCTCCTTACACTTCTCATGGGCACCTCAGATTTGAGATCATGATCTTCACCTCCAAACCCAGGCCTTTTCTGTATTCCCCATTTTAGTGAATGGTACTGCCAGTGGCAGAAGACTGAAATCCAGAGTTTGGGCCCTTCCTTTGCTAATCTATCACCAGGCGCTGCTGACCCCAGAGCTCCCATTTCTTCCTGACTACCACCACCACCCTTCTGCAAGCTGTCCTGTTTCTCTCCCACAACAACAGCCTCCTAGTTGGCCTTCCAACAATGCTGTGGACCCCTCCAGTCTGTTCTCTACAGAGTTGCTAGAGGATGCTTCCAAAACCTCAAATCTGATCATGTCACACCCATTCCCAGCCCTACCCAATGCTTAAACTCCTTCAAAGGATACCCATTGTTCTTAGGACAAAACAGAATTCCTCTCATTGTCCTTGTTTTTCTGGCGGTATTTCTTTAGCCTCCTCCTCATCATGTTCTCACTTACTCTCTGCTCCAGATTCTCTGGCCTCTTTCGGTGCCTTTTGACACACATGCTCCCTCCCACAATAGGGCCTTGGCACATGCCATTCTCCCAGCCTGGTGAGTGCATCCCTCTCTCCTTAGGCCAATTAACTTCCGGTTAATTAACTCTTTCCAATATCAAATCAGTGTCTCTTCACAAGAAAACCTCCTCTTACTCTCCTGGCTGAAGTGACTCCGCCCCTTAGGGATTCTCACACTCCTGGGGATGCTTTCATCTGGTTGCCACAGTTGTACGTTTACATTTTGTGGGATCCTCTAACCAATGTCTCCCACCCCTTTGACTATAAGCAGCTCTCTTGGGTCCATGTTTATTCTCTGCTCATGCTTCAGACCACTCCTGTGCCTGGAACGGCATCTGGACATAGTAGGTGCCTAACAAACACATGGCACACAGTCAGCACTCAGTGAGCCCCTCCTGCCTACTTCCTTGAGCACAGATTAAAAGTAGCCCCATCATCTCTGTATCAGCTCTTTTATTATCTTGTTATCACTCACCAATCTGAAATTGGCCACTTAATTGTCTCCTTGTTTCTTGTCTGTCTCCCTTCTCTAGCAGAGTGAAATGGTGGGCCTAGCCTTCCCTGCTCACTGCTATTTCCTCTTGCCCAGCTGTGAGCTTGGCATGAGTAGGTGCTAAATAAGTATCTTTTGAATGGCTGGAGAAAGAAGGAAAGAAATAAGGAAGGAGGGCTCCTCATCTGTGAAGGCAAGAGTGTCCTGGCCTCTACCTGGGACAAGACATGCTCAGAGACTCATGGCCTCTGGCGTGCTCATGTGTTCCCCCTTCTGCCCTTCCTACAATTCTCCTCACTCCCTATCTCACAGCAATTCCACGAGCCAGGCACAGCAGCCCCAGAAACGCTGGCCTCTCCCTCATGCTACTTCTGGAAGCCCCACTTGACCCTACTCTCACCTGCAGCTCTGTAGCCAGGCCTGGTAGACCCCTTCCTTCCCCTAACACTTCATGGAGGCTGCTGAGCACCTTCAGGTAGCAGGAGAGGACATAAGGGGAAGGCCTTGGAGGTGGGTGGAAAGAATGTCCACTCCCTCCCCTCCACCCCTCCTCTCTGGATTCAGGGGAGCCTGGGGAGCTCTCTATGCCCTCCAGCTTAAACACAGGGCCCAGGGACCTCAGTCTGACTCCAGGCTCGTCCTCTGGTGGAGGAAGGATCAGTAGAGGGTAAAGGGCCTCGGCACCATTCTTACCTTGCTGTAAATAATCTGTAGTGTTAGAGGAATGGCCTCCCGGTCGCCATCAATACCCAGTCGCTTACTGCCAGGACCTGTGCCATACACAGAAAGACCCTTCACTTCCTCTGCCCCAGCCTCCTGTGGCCCTGCCTCTCATGGCCCTGCCTCCCCAGGACCCTGCCTCATGTCTGCACCCCTGCTCAGCAGTACTCACCCGAAGCCTTGATGGCCCGAATGGCAGCAGAGTGACCCAGCTCCAGGGACTGGATGAAGATCTCCGTGGTCTTCTCCCCAGTGATGAAGGTCAGCTGGAGAGAGCACATACATCAGTGTGGCCCACAGGAGGGCCCCACCCACCAGGCTGCTGCAGCCCGGGGCTGCGGACTGCTGTGGGTGCGGTGGGGGTGGTGCCCGCCGAGGCCTTGAGTGCGTACTGGGCAAGGAGGCAGCGTGGCCGTACCTCTGTCTGGTAGACCTGCAGCAGCACCGGCCGTGCGGCAAAGCGGCAGTAGTACAGCAGCATGTCGGCCAGGATGGGCAGCTGGGCTGGGGAGCCCACCAGGAGCCGCGATTCAGGCTTTAGAGACTGCTGGGGGTGGCAAGGGAGCCCATGCCAGAGGGACCAAGGGACGGAGAGTGAGAGGAAGAATGTGAGAGGAAGAGAGGCAGAGATACAGGCAGATGAGAGAGAGAGAGAGAGAGAGAGAGAGAGACAGGCACATTGGGAAACAGGGAGACAGAAAGGGAAATGGTCAGAGGGAAGCGGGAAACAGAATGGCAGCCCGGCCTCCACACCCCGCCTCACCTGAGACATGGGCCTCCAGGGAGTCTCGGAAGGGGCTAAAGCCTAAAGTCCTAGAAGCCAGCCTGTGCCCTGCTCAGGACCTTCCCTGTCCTAGACGTGCCCCCAGCCCTCAGCCCCCAGTTCCCTGGGTTGAGACTTAGCCCTGCCCCTCACTCATCCTCCCTGCTCTTTTCCAAGTGAGCCCTGGCCTGTGGCTGGAACCCCAAACCCAAGGCCTTCTAAGTGAGGCAAGTGCCTGCAGTCCCCAGAGCCCCCACTCCAGGGCCCACTTACCTGGCACAGGACCTCAGGGGGCAGGTGCATGAGGCCCAGCACGTTGCGTTCATACCAGGGGTCGAGCATGCCGAGGTAGTGGGAGATGTCGTTGGTGCTCTCTTCCCAGGAGACTGAGCCCAGCTCCTGGAGCAAGGGGCAAATGTCATTCTCAGGTCCCCAGGAGCCTGCCCAGCATAGTCCCAGGGCCCAGATGGCCCTGGCACCCCAATCTGAGCCTCTCCTGCTCTTGGAAAAGGCTGACAACTTTCAGTATATGTCATATGGCAACATATCACTCCCAAGTGCAGGGGGACCACACCTAGGAGCCAGATCAAGCACAGAGGGCACCAAAACCCAAACCAGTTGCCACTGAGTCCAACCCCAACTCATGGCGACCCTGTGTGTGTCAGAGTGGAACTGTGCCCCACGGGGTTTTCAATGACTGATTTTTCAGTAGATCACCAGGGCTAGCTTCCAAGGTGCCTCTGGGTGGATGTGAACCTTCACCCTTTCAGTTAATGGTTTGTAGCACCCAGGGATAGGCCCATAAACACGGGTGAACAGTGACTTGCAGCCAGCCCCCTTCAAACCCACTCATGTCCACTCTACTTTCCCACTCCATCTGGTCCTGGGTTTGGGACGTACTGCAGGGCTGGGATGCTTCGGGGATTCCGTGGGGAGTGGGGGCGTCTGGTTCAGAGGGGCTGGGCAGGCACTGGAACGGGTCCCGGGGCCCCGCTTCACAGGCACGTAGAAGAACTGCAGCTTGAAGAACCGGGTGAGGAGCGGGCAATTGTTCTCCAGCCGCCTGACACAAGAAGATGGTGAATAGGAAGGCTTCTCAGATGCTAACCCTCAGGCCCCACCATTGCGCAGCTCCTCGGCTCTTACCGAAGGTTGCTATACGCCCGAGCGACCTTGCCCGAAATCCGATCGGAGCCGAAGACCACAACACGGAGTGTGGAGGCCTTGGGGTCCTCGTCCCCGCTGAGGAAGGGTCGACGGCGCCGGTGGCGTGAGGCGGGCGCCAGGAGCCAGCTGGGCAGCTGGGCATTGAGCTTGGGCTGGGGCAGGGAGTGGGAGCGCTGGGCACGGGCAGGGCGCGGGGTCTGGCCGTCCAGGGGGCCGCAGAGGCTCCCGGCCCGCCGCAGCGGGAGGTCCGCCTCAGCACTGCCCTCCAGGGCCCGTGAGTCCCTGCGCAGCACCAGCTGACTGGTGCTCTTGAAGAGTTTATAGATCCGGTTGAACTTCTGCCCAGGCCTGCGGTGGCCCCGGCGCTCCCGGCAGCCGGGCTTCCGGGGCCACTCGGGGGAACTCTCCCCACTGTCCTCCACGTAGCCACTGTCCATGCCGTCCGACAGGCCAGAGACGAAGGAGCTCAGCAACCGGCGGGGAAGGGCGGGCCCTGAGGCCTGGGAGGAGGCCAGCGACAGGGCAGAGTCACGCGAGGCTGCTGAGCTGGCGGAAAGCAGAGAGTCCCTCTCGGCACAGTGCCCGTCGGTTTCCAAGTCCTCCTCCTCCTCTTCTTCCTCTTCCTCGTCGTCCCCCAGAATCTCCGGCTGGAGCAGCTCCTGTTCCTTGAGCAGGATTTCCTGCAGGATGTCTGCAGAGAAGTTAGGGGAGGCACCCTCTGGTGTCCAGGCCTCCTTACTCCTCTTGCTCACCCTTTGGAGGGTGACAGGCTCAGAAACTTGAGGAGGAGGACCGGGCAGAGGGGTCAGGGCCAGGCCAGGACTCATAGCACTGCCCTCTGCTGGGCTACAGCCTGCTCAGGTGGGAGGGCTCTTGGGGGGCGGAGTCAGGCATAGACCCAGGACCAGACGGAGGGCTCTGACAGGGTGGGAGACACTATCCCGCCCAGCGGCTCCTTACCAAAGCTGTCCTGGTTCCAGCTGTAGGTGTAGCACCTGGCCACAGGGATAGGGATGGTGTGGAGCTTGCCAGGGTTTGCAGTGTCTGTAGGAACAGGGTGGGCAAGAGATGAGGGCCAAGAAGATGTCTTGAGATTTGCTGGCCCAGTCTCCATCTCCTTGTCTCACAGAAAAGACCAGAATTGGGAAAGGATCCACACAGGGACACAGCTGGATGGGCAGAGGCTGGGTTAGAAGCTGGGCTGCCTGGGTCCCAGCCTTTTCTTTTCAACCACACCATATAAATACCATGTCCCTTACTAGCTACGTGATTGTGGCCAAGCCACAACTTCTGAGCCTCATTTTACAATGTCCAGATGGGAAAATAATGGTACTATCTCATAAGGAGGAGCTCTGGTGGTGCAGTGCCTAAGGCATTTGACTGCTAACCAGAAGGCTGGCGGTTCAAACCCATCAGCCACTCTTCGGAAGGAAGGTTGGGCAATCTACTTCCGTAGTGATACCACCTCAGAAACCCAAGAAGGGGTCACTATGAGTTGGATCCGACTCAACGGCAGTGGGTTTACCTCATAAGGGTTTTGTGAGGAATATTAGGATTCAATACCACCCATTGCTGTTGCATCAATTCCAACTCATAGCAACTCCATGTGCGTGACAGTAGAACTGTGATCCCTAGGGCTTTCAATGGCTAATTTTTCCAGAAGGAGATTGCCAGGCCTTTCTTCCAAGGCACTTCTGTGTGGTCAAACCAATAACTTTTCAGTTAGCAGCCTAGTGTACTAACTATTTGCTGTACCCAGAGACCCCAATATTGTGATAAAACCAAACCATTGTCATTGAGTCAACTCCAACTCATAGTGACCACATGGGATAGAGAAGAACTGCCCCATGGAGTTTCCAAGTCTGTAATCTTTACAGAAGCAGACTGACATATCTTTCTCCCATGGAGCAGTTGGTGGGTTCAAACAGCCAATCTTTTGGTTAGCAGCTGAGTGCTTAAGCACCGCTCCACCAGGGCTCCTTCCATATTATGATAGGGACAGTTAATGCTCCCCGGAACCTGTCCTCCTTTCTTACGTGGTAATGGAGTTGTAGAGATGAGGTTTCCCAGGCTCCTTCAGGTCTGGGTGTGGCCATGTGACTAAGGGGGCACAAAGGAATGTGTGCAAAAGTGATGTGTGTAACTTCTGCATTATCTTCAACTTACAAAATCCCCTTGCCCTCAATTAGTGCTCTCTTTTCCTCTCCCCCAAAGTTGGAGCATGATGGCAACCCAACCTGAACTCTGCAGAAGGGAGAGGTGCCATAAGATGTGAACCTGGGTCCCTGAATGACTATGGAGCAGAGCTACCAGGCAAACCTGGACCACTCACCCTGAGAGTGAGAATCAGTGCTGGGGAAGGCAGACAGAGCCCCACTCTCTCAAGAGCCTCACCTAAGATGCCTGGGAAGCCAGCTTTTTCTCCCACTGCTTGCAGCTTGGTCCTGAGCCATTGCCGGGCCTCAGCTACGTCCCCAATGCCAGATGCCAGCTCCTGTGCCTCTGTGGTCTCCGTGAAGATGTCTTCAAGCTCTGCCAGGGTCTTGGACTAAAACCCCAGAAGGAGACAAAGTTTACTCCTATACCACAGCTTAGCTGCCTGCCTTTTTCCAGATCCTGGTGTTTTACTGGGTGCAGCAGCAATCTGAGTCCTCTCCAGCCTCAACGCCCACCTCTGTCCACAGATGGCCAGGGGACAGGCCTCCTCTTCCTCTCCCTATTCCCAGAAATGGTCATGAGAGAAAGGACTTCAGAGATCATCACTGCAGCTCAGAGAGGGGAAGGGACTTGTCCAAGGTCACACAGCTGACCCACCAGAAAGCCAGGACTAGAACTCAGGATTTCTGGCTTCAGTCTAAAGCTTATTCCCATCCCGCCCAGCTCAGGCTAACTTCTGAGGCACCAGGCATCGATGCCCAGTCCCAGAGTACCACCCAACCCTGGTTAGGACCCAACACACAGAAACCGTCTCAATGAGGCCAGCCCTTTAGCCATTAGCCACCAAGTCCCTCTGGGGAAGCCAGTGTACCCGGAGACTGCAGCACTGAAATGGAGCAGAAGGAGGCTTTGTCTCGTTGGAGACATGCTCTGTGGGGGAGGGGCTGTGCTAGGTCCCAGGGATCCCAGGATGTACCTGCAGCCTGCAGTGCAAGCCTGGAAGGTCACAGTGGGCCCCAAAAGTGGCCTGGAAGGCATGCAGGAGCAGAGTGACGTAGGCACTGTGGGGTGAGTGTCCGGGCGTGCTCAGCTCGTTGGCCACAGCAAGGAACTCAGCCTGCACTTCCACCGGGTTCAGCAACAGCACAGTGCTGGGGGCATAGAGGGCGCAGCTATGGGCGCATGGGGAGGGGCTGCACGGCACACCACGCTGCAGTCCCACCCCTCATGCCCACTGGTGCTCAGCCCCACTGCGGCCTGGGCCTCCTCATGGTCCAGACAGGGCCTGTAGAAGTTACCAGAGGTCAGGGGAGAGGCTGGGGCTTAAGGGCCATTTCCAGGAGAAAGTTTGACATCTGCTTTTGAGTATTTTTTTTTTTTAGCCCAAGTTTTCAAAGACCTTTTCAAAACTGAATTTAATTGTTTAAAACAAATTTAACCTTACTTTTTATTTAAACATACTCCTACAGGATACAAGATTATTCAAGGGGCATTGTGTTTTAATTGTGTTTGATCCGGTGATTTTAAGCCAGGTGATCTCTTTCTTGAGGGAAGAGAAAGGGAATGGGACAGCTACATACTGCCTGCATTAAGGCCTGGGTGACAGACAGGTGGGTAGGATCTAGCCCATGCCTGCTCCTCCAGGAAGGGTCCTGGTGTGGGCTCGCATCCTCCCAAGTCAGAGATGCATTTGCTTCCTCCTCTCAGAGGGAGGAATGTTTCTAATTTACCCAAAGCTGTCATATGGGCTAGCATCAGGCTTACGGGGTGGGGTGGGGTGGGGTGGGGTGAAAATTATGGACAATTTCTGATATATCCAAGTCCTAAGAGAATAGTGAACCCTCAGGTGCCCATCACCCCCCCACCCACCCACTGCCATCAAGTCGGCTCTGACTCACAGCAACCCTATAGGACAGAATAGAACTGTCCCATAGGGTTTTCAAGGCTGTAAATCTTTACAGAAGCAGACTGCCTCATCTTGCTCCTACAGAGCAGCTGGTGGGTTTGAACCTCCAACTTTTCAGTTAGCAGCCTAATGCTTTAACCACTACAGTGGCAGAGCTCCTTGTCATCTCCCAGTTAGCATGGCCCTTCTCACTTCTCCATACTACCCCCTCCATCACTGTGTGCTTCTGAAGCCACAAGGCATCACATTATTGTATCAGTAAATACTTTACCATGAACTGTGCTCACTCTCTCACTTTCTCACACATACACACACACACACACACAATTCCATGCTACCTTTAAACAGAGTGCCAAGAAACACCATGGCGGGTAGTATTTCCTTCAGTCTCTGTGAACTTTTTTCCCAGAGCTGAACCTCTGGGGGTGAGGCAGAGAGACAGCAGCAGTGTCTGATGGAGTCCCTATCATTTTGGGAGAAACTACGCATGATTTCTCCATTTGTAAGAAAAGGGGGGGGGGAGTGAGTTCACGTAAGCAACGGCTTACTGAGCCACTAGTCCTTGTGAGCACCTGATCTGTCTGCTCCACGGACAGATGGACAGATGGACGGACAGACAGTTGTGTGCTGAGCACTGCTGGGCACAGGCTCTGTCCTGGAACAAGACCAGTGAGTCCCTGCTCTCATGGGCTTGCACATCTTTTTCTGCAGAAGTGGCCATCACTCTTGATTCGTAGATATCCCAAGCCCCAGCTTCCCTACTAACCACTCTCTGCCTCAGTTTCCTTACTGAAAAAACCTTTCTCCTAGAGTTACCACAAAGATGAAAGGAGTTCACACACGACCAGTACTTAGAACACTGCCTGGAGCACAGGAAGTACCCAAAGGTGTTGCTTGGTCCCCTGCCTCAGCCCCTGGGGGTGTCTTCTTTACTCGCTAAACTGGGAGGAGGCACAGGATTTTTATGTCATTTTTGCCTCTCACAAAATCAACCACAGGTCTGGGTATGTGTACCTACAAGGAGCTCAGGGAATATTTGTGCAGTGATGTGACACGAAGCCCTGGGGCTGCTGAGCCTGTGGAGGCCAGAGAGCTGCCTGAGGGTTCTCCGGTTGGCTGCTTTCCACGAGTGCTGCCAAAACTGCAGGTGGCACCCGTTAGCGGGTAATGAAATAAATGTTGGGAGTCACACAACCAGAGTTGTTTTTCAAACGAAGCAGAATAGAATAGGGCAGAGCTCATCCTATGTGGTCAGGGTAAGTTTCATTTCATGACATTTTTTCAGGCGTACGTGTACCAGGCTATTACAAAAAAGGTTTTTGTTGTTTGCTTTACTATAGGGTCTGGTCAAAAAAGTTTACAAAGCACTGTTTGAATAACAGGCAGAAAGATATCATTAAAGATCCTGGGTTTTCCAGTAAGATTAAGGTTCAAAACCTGGCTCAGACACTGACTAGCTGTGTGATTTTGTGGAAGTTACTTGACCTCTCTGATCTCTACAATTTTTTCATTTGAAAAGTGGAGATAAAGTAGATAATGTGTGCCCAGTACTTGGCATGGTGCCTGGTGCTTGGTAGGTTAGAGTTGTTAACCTTTTTTAAAAAGTTTAGTTCAGACCCCTTTAAAAATCTGAATCCTCAGCTCAGAGCAATGAATCTATGCACAAAACATCCCCAGTGACTTCTAGGGCCCCTTGAAGCCCATTTGTTCATGGACCTTGGATAACAGCCCTGTGGTAGGAGTGCAGTTAAATAAAGATACTGTTATTTTTGTTGTGGTGGTGGTGTTAGCTGCTGTCAGGTATGCCCTAACTCATAGCGACTATGTGCACAACAGAATAAAATGCAGCCTGCCTGGTCCTACTCTACCCTCCTAATTCATTGTGGATCAGAGTATTATGATCCACAGGTTTGCAATGGCTCATTTTCAGAAGTAGATTACCAGGCCTTTCCTCTTAGCCCGTATTAGTCTGGAAGCTCCACTAAAATCTGTTTGGCATTATAACAACAGACAACCCTCCACTGACAGACAGACAGTGGCTGTGCGAGAGGTGCACTGGCCAGGAACCCACCGCGAGTCTCCTGCATGGACCACTGAACCACTAATGCCCCACAATTAAATGAGAGTGATTGTTAATATAGCCGTGGCAGGGGTGAAAGAAGGTGGAGTGATGGAGGGAAAGCCAGTTGCAGGGGGGAAGGTAAAGGGGAGTCCCACCGACCCACTAGGCTGCCTCCCCACTGTCCCTGTTGTCTCTCCCTCCCTCCCTTCCCAAGGGCACTCACACAGTGGAACTTCGGTGACTCCTAGTGGGCAGGCCCTGCTCTGCCCTCACCAGCCTCTGGTAGGAGATTCCTGTGGGAAAAAAGAAGCCAGTTCGTGGGTTTACTTGTTCCTTCAGAGCATTCATCTCCTTGTGTCTCACAGGGAGCCGGGTACCAGAAGATGGAGTTGTAACCTCCTGGATGAGGTTCCGAAGAACCTGGGGAGAAAAGAGCCGATGTTTGGACACCTCCTGTGTGCTTGGCACTTTGTTTCCTTTATTCCTCACAAGAAACACTTGTCCTTTTTTTTTTTAATTTAAACCTTAGCCTCCCCACAATCCCACCCTGGCTCTTGCCCCCTCTGGATTTCCTCAGCCTCTCTGGCTGCCTTACCTTCATAAGGCCACTCTTCCTGAGTGTCACCCCTAAGCTTGGGGACAGCCTGGCAAGAGAGAAAGGCACTGAGGGTGAAATACCCAGGGAAGAAGTTAGATGGATTTCCTGGCTCTTCTGTGTGCTCTTGGGCAGGTCACTTCACTGCTGGGCCTCAGTTCCCTTAAGTGGGCCTTTAAGTCTCTGATTCCAAGGCCCCGCAGCAGCTCCACTCCCTCTGTAAAGGTTTGTTCCTCGGAGACGTTGAGGCAGGGCATCCTGGGAGCTGGCTGCGTGCAGGCAGCTGAGTTGTTCCCGGGTCCTATCACTGCTCCTCTCCCACGCTGCTGGATGGCCCCCTACAGTCCTCAGCCTCAGCTTAGTCTCAGCACGAGCCAGGCAGCGGGAGCTTCCACATCTCCCTGCCTCACCTCTGCATCTCTGCCTCATTTTCCACAGACTCTCAGGTGACTGCCATCTTGCCTGGTCTGTAAGGCTGACCCTCTCTTCTGTCTGCACCGTAGCCCCTTCCCTCCCAGCCCCTTCCATTACTCTCTCTCCCATGGTTTCAAACATGCTGAGAAGAAATCAGCCAAAAGTTTTTACTGCAACTTAACTCAGTCCTGTAGCTGGAAAACAGTTCCTTTAAAATATGTTTCAGTTCTGTCAGCCGCAGTCAGGAGATAAAAGAAAGGCTGGCTCTCTGTGGGGGCCGAGGAATTCAGCGGGAAACTATTTATTTATTGTGATCTGCGTAAAAGTTTACAGAGTATATTCATTTTCCTTACAGCAGTTCATACACATTTTGTTTCATGACATTGACTGCAATGCCCACAATGCAACAGCTGTCTTCTTACTTCCTCCCTGTAGTTACTTCTTCCCTATGTTCTTCTTTCCTATGCATTCCTGCCCCCCCCCCACTATCTCCCCATGTAAACACGGCCCCTCTGTTCTCCCACGATTGACTGCTTCAAGGAGTACATCTACCTGATGTAAATGTTCACCCTATGTGCCTGGGAGACTTTTTGTTGTTGTCGTTGTTAGAAATTATCACTCGGGAGTCCAGGACAGGCTGGCAGGGAGCAGGGCCAGGAAGACAGATGTCATCATGGCCACCACCTGGAGTAGGTGTGAGCTGGGAGCAAGAAGGAAATCCCCTGTTAAACTCAGAGATGAGGCTGTGGTTCAGTGACGTCTATAAACAGAAAGGCCCTGATTTTTGTTTAGTGGTTGTTAGCTACTGTCACATTGACTCCAAATCATAGCGCCCTTACGAGAGATGAAACGTTCCAGCGTGGTCCTCACGATCGCTGGCATATCTGAGTCCATCACTGAGGCTGTTGTGCCCATCGACCTCCGTGAGGCTCTCCCTCACGCTCCTTGGTCCTTTCCCTTATCAAATATGGTATGTCCTTCTCCAGTGTCTGATCCCTGCTGATACTGTGTCCAAAGCAAGCAAGTCAGACAGTGTTCTGTGTGATCCATGAGATTTTCATTAGCTAATTTTCAGCAGTAGATAGCCAGGTCTTTCTTCCTAGTCTGTCTTAGTCCAGAAGCTCTGCAGAAACCTGTTCACCACAGGTGACCTGGCTGTTATTTGAAACACTAGTAACATAGCTTCTAGCTTCACAGCAATACACAAGCCACCACGATACAGCAAACTCACAGGTGGGTGGTGGTTTGTTTAGTAAATGGCAGACAATTACCAATTCATGCTGGTCTCATCTGTGACTTAATTTGCTTTGGTTTTTGGCATTAACATTTGATGTTTATTCTATGCGATTGTCACACGTCTGGAAGCTAGTGCTGTATCTATTTGGGTAGGAAAGTTCCTGAAACTCTATTACGCTTAGGACTCGAGATACCATCTAGTAGTGGCTCACATACATGACAGAAAAATAGTCCCCTCACACCCTTTGCCCTTCAATATAATACTGTCATTGAGACAAACTGATACTCTCAAATCCTCCTGACTGCTAAGCAAACACGCGGACAAACAAAATATTCTCTTGGCCCTATTGCTCTTGTGCTTTGCTATTTAATGTCTTTCAATGGGTAACCTACAACCTACTGGCCCCATTTCTGCCTCTGCTTACCCAGGACATACAGCTGGTCACACTCCTGGGAGCAGTGGGCTGTGAGATCACTCTTACCTCCACATCAGGTTTCCTCCAAAATTCTAGCTAATCAGCATCAAATCCCACAGCCCCCCTGACACTGCCCTCCTGCAGTTGACCAATGTTTTCCCAGCCTCACAACCCAATGGCTCAAACTAGTTGTTATTCTTCTTGACTTTTTTTTTTCAGTATTTGGTACTGTTGACAACTTTTTCCTTGAAGTTCTCTGTTCTCTCTTAGCCTCTAGGATAAGAAATCTTCTCTAAAATCTTATATTTCTGCATCTGCTTGTCTTGTTGTTGCTGCTGTTAGCTATCGTCAAGTCATGGTGACCATGCTCAATAGAACAAAACTGCCTGAGTCCTGCACCATTCTCCCCATCAATTGTAGATCAGACTGTTGTGATCCATAGAGCTTTCATTGGCTGATTTTTGGAAGTAGATTGCCAGACCTTTCTCCCTCGCTCATCTTAGTCTGCAATGTGTTCAGTTTCGTAACAACACACAAGCCTTCGCTGACAAGTAGGTGGTAGCTGCACATAAGATGCACCGGCTGGAAACTAAACCCAGATCTCCTGAATGGAAAGCAAAATTCTGCCACTGAGGTCTTACATTTCTGGGTCTCAGAACCTACTATGCAGCCACAGTAGTCAAAACAGCCTGGTATTGGTAAAACGACAGACACACAGACAAGTGGAACAGAATTGAGAACCCAGAAATAGATCCATCCACCTATGGTTGGTCAACTGATCTTTGACAAAGGGCCGAAATCCATTAAAAGTGAAAGAAACAGTCTCTTTAACAAATGATGCTGGCAAAACTGGATATCCATTTGCAGAAAAATGAAACCGGGTCCATACCTCACACCATACACAAAAACCAACTCCAGATGACTAACTCATTTAACATTGAACTCAAAGACTTAAATGTAAAACCTAAATCTATAAAGTTCATCAAAGAAAAAATAGGGGCAAACTTAGGGGCCCTAATAAATGGATAGCATCAATAGACTACCAAGCATAACTGAAAATGCACAAACAACAGAAGATAAACTAGATGACTGGGACCTTCTCAAAATTAAATTCTTATGCACATCAAAAGATTTCTCCAAAAGAGTAAAAAAGAGAACCTGCTAATTAGGAAAATAATATTTGGCAATGACATATCTGACAAGACTCTAAAATGTATAGAAAACTCCAACACTGCAACATCAAAAAATCAAACAACCCAATTTTAAAAATGGGCAGAAGATATGAACAGACACTTCACCAAAGAAGATATTCAGGTAGCCAACAAATACATGAAGAAATGTTCACAATCATTAGCCATTTGAAAGATCCAAAACAACAATGAGATACCATCTCACCCCAGCACTAATAGCAAAGTAACAAGACAGAAAATAACAAATGCCAGTGAGAATGTGGAGACTGGGACTCTTATACATGCTCGTGAGACTGGAAAATGATACAAGCAGTGTGGAAGATGATATAGCGATTCCTTAAAAAGTTGGAAACAGAAATACCATTTGATCCAGCAATCCCATCACTAAGTATATATCCTAAAGAAATGAGAGCCATGACATGAATATATATGCACACCCATGTACATCTATAGTACATACATACAATGGTACATACACACTATGGTACATACACACAATGTAATACTATGCGACACTAAAGAATAATATAGAAGCCATGAAACACCTCATAATATGGATGAACTTGGAGGATATTATGCTATGTGAAGTAAGTCAGTCACTGAAGGACAAATATTGTTTGAGTCCACTATTGTAAAAAGTCAAGGAAAGTTTTACATATGGAAAGAAACCTTCTTTGTTGGTTACCAGGGATGGGAGGGGGAGGGAAGGAAAATTGCTAGATAAATGAGACAAGCATTGATTTGGGTGAATGGAAAAGCAATATACCAAAAGTGAGTGACCAACACAATGCCACTAAGGAAAGGGAAGACAGTGAGATGAACAAGAGGTACAGACAACAAAGATAAACACTTTTATATACACAATACTGCATTATCAGTAATAACAAACACAGATGGATTCATAGGTAGACAGACTGAATGATCACGTATGTCTAGTCAAAACGGAATATACCCATGATCATATGTAAGTCTGGCAGACTTAGACACATACATATTTCTACATACATATTTGTGCTATAATGTCCAAATATATAATAGCGCTAACAGGAAGCAAAGTTATGATAACTTCTTAGCCACAGCCAACCACCCTGAGGGAGCAAGTTGTTGGGCCCATGGGCTCAGAAATATGGTCACAGGGGACATCAAGTTCAATTGGCATAATGTACTATACAAAAACAATATTCCTCATCCTACTTTGGTGAGTAGTGACTGGGGTTTTAAAAGCTTGCAAGCAGCCATCTAAGATGCAACAATTGGTCTCTCCTTACCTGGAGCAAAGAAGAATGAAGAAAACCAAAGATGCATGGAAACAATTAGTCCAAAGGACTAGGGGGCCATGTGAACCTCAGCCTACATGACCCTGAGAACAGAGGAACTAGATGCTGCCTCCCTACCACTGTCAGTCCCTTGGAAAGGGATCATTGTAAGAGATCCTGGAGAGA